GGAAAGCAAGACCTCTGCCCAGTCAGAACTGCAAAGAACTATCATTACTACCACAAGTACCTATAATGAAAATGTTTAATATTATTATCAGTCATTTAAAACAAGTATCAAACCGATTCATCGAGGTGAACATTTCAAGCCTTAATTTCTTGTAATTTTTCTATTTGGGCACATACAAATATTGAAAACCCAAATTTCTGTTTCTAAAAAAATTGAATAATTTGAAAAAGTATTCAAAACTTGCGGTGTCCAAACATAATTAGCTAATCAACTCAAAACACCCTCAAAGGAGGGGAAGCCACTAATGGTCATTATTAAAGTAGATGCACTGTAAGAAATGATATGTTGAGTTGACTTCTGTAAACTGGTTCCACTGAACCTATTATGGGTTCTACTTCATGTCAAAATAAACATATATAAGTTTTTACATTTAATCAGTTTAGTGGAACCAGTTGACATAACTTGGTTAACGGTGCATAAAGTAAGAAAGACATTTTGTGGTCAAATGTGGGTACTGCAATCCATGAATTAAAAAAAAATAGTCTGCTCTAAGCAACTTCGCCCTTTCGTGAGTTTCATGGCTGTTGCCAGTTACAGATCGGCGCCAGAAGATTCTAGATGACGAGCAAAGACGAGTCTTACTCAGAACACTTAGTTGTTGGTGATTGAAAAAGTAGCTTGATATTTCTAAAAAGGATAATTTTGTCCTAATGCACTGTTAGCATTGTTACCTCAATGCTAGCCTATAGCCTTCTGGACCAGATATGTTGCTCCTTGCCAGCCAGTGTCGAATTATAAATGCTGTGTTTGCGCTGAAGACTTGGCAACTTTGCAGGCTCACATATGAATGACTCGGGAGCCAGGAGGTTTTAGCTGATGGCTGAGAAGAAAATCTCCCAACATGATTGAGGTTTTAGACTGTTTTGTGATTATTTCACAGTAAAATCCTTATTGTCCCTTTAAATTAATTCAACAGTTTATTTTTACAGTGCAAGACTTTTCACAGAAAGTAGAGCAGATGGAAAAAGTGTGGGAGGAAAATTTGCACCAGCTGCAGGGAGAACTGCAGCTCTGTGTTGAGCTAAGCCCATTCAAGAATTTGAGGGAGCTTCACCAGGAGTGGATTAAGGCTGAAGTCAGACCATCAAGATCTTCCATGCACCTACCAATCTTGTCAAGCCCCTTCTGGACCAGAGACACCCAGGCAATCTTACCTAGGCTAAGGTGAACAAGATCCAGGCTGTTGCTCTGTGGTCCAAAGTTTTCTTTTAGAATAAAGTAAAGTTTTCACTTCATTTAGAAATCAAACTTCCAGGGGTCTGGAGGAACAGTGGAGAGGTAGAGAATCCACAATGCTTGAAGTCAAAAGTGAAGTTGAACTCTTGCGCTCCTGTTCCAGGAACTAAAATTGAGCCAGGGAAGAGGAGCTGATAATGTTGATGTGGAGTCTTACTTCCTGATATTCAGACACTTTCTCCTTTGATTGGCTAACAGCAACACGAATACCACTGCTCTTTTTACTGTGCAGCGTTGGTGATTTATCTCCACAAATGACATAAACCAGGTTGTGAAGTAGCTAATGCTAACGGTTAGCTTCAACTAGCTGAAACATGCCCTGCACGCTCTTGGACGCTATCAACAACAGCCCATCCTGTCGGGAGCCAACATGAGTGATTCCATGAAAGCTAAAGTTAGCTATTGGGTTCTGCTTTTGCTACGAGCCACTTCTGGGATGCATCAATTTCACTTAGGGCTAGTCAGGAAATCACGCATGATATCAGCGTAAAAATTCTGGTAATTTTCAAAATAAAAGTCATTTGCAGAGATGGGATGTCTTATTTATGCAGATACTATTCATACGTTTGATCTCACGGCTTAATTACAACTGGTATCTTTCGAGAAGTGCAACGGTGTGTTTTTATTTCATGGATGGGATCACATTTTTTTCTTTTTGCTTTCATGGCAGACAAAGTCTTGAAGGATTTGGTGATTTTGCGAGTCCTGCAAGGAAGTCGGTAGAGATGCTGTGCTGATGATGACCCCAGTGTAGACCTGGGGTAACTCAGAGTGACTGATCATAGTTAAAAAATAAAAAGTAAAAATTGTTTCTCAGTGAACTTTGTTTTTAAAGTGACAGTGTATACACATTGTCACATTGTCTGGAAATAGGGCCAGTACATTTATAAGTCTTTGTAAGCAAGCGGTATTTTTGTGTTCAAGTAAGACTGGGATCACTGGGAGTGAAATGTTCGAACGAGTAAGGTACTTCGTCAGATCTTTCAACTTCCAGCAAAATGACAAGCACGTCCGACCTCTCTCATAACCGGCAATGAGTGAAGAGGTACATTTTTAAAACAACAACATTTATGAACGGCAACATTTTGAAACCATTTGTTACAAATCAATAAATGCATTTAGTCCTCATGGGCTCCTGTAGAAGAAAACATGGCATCGCCCAAAGGCTTGGACCCGCTCCCATGTATTTTAGACCCAATCTGTGTGGTTAAATTACAAGGCCGCCAATATTTTCCGACAAAAGTGCGTCATTCAATTAATATTCAATGACATTCCGACGGATATTTCCAAAGATTAATGATAAAATCACACAAACTCTTTAAATATCTTTTTATGTAATATTCTAATTTTCTGAGACAGTGAACACTGCTGCTACCCACTTAAACATTCTCCCTCTCCTGATAATAACATTTTACTTTCTTTGACATTGAATGTGCTACTACTAGTTTACCTGTTTAACTATAGATTCACTAGGATAAATACAAAGTTTATTGTCACCAAATAGAAATCTACAGCAGAAATCACAACGTGACCATAGAAACACTACTTGGTATATATGGTGTGTGTGTGTGTGTGTGTGTGTGTGTGTGTGTGTGTGTGTGTGTGTGTGTGTGTGTGTGTGTCAGCTCTGTCTTCTCGATCCCCAGTGAGTCCTGGTGGATGGCTGCTTATACAGGTCCTTCTGAAAAAAATAGCATATTGTTATAAAGTTCATTATTGTCTATAATGTACTGATAAACATTAGACTTTCATATGTATTAGATTTATTACACACAACTGAAGTAGTTCAAGCCTTTTATTGCTTCTAATATTGATGATTTTGGCATACAGCTCATGAAAACCCAAAATTCCTTTCTCCAAAAATTAACATATCATGAAAAGGTTCTCTAAACGAGCCATTAACCTAATCATCTGAATCAACTGATTAACTCTAAGCACCTGCAAAAGATTCCTTAGGCTTTTAAAAACTCCCAGCCTGGTTCATTACTCAAAACTGCAACCATGGGTAAGACTGCCGACCTGACTGCTGTCCAGCAGGCCATCATTGACACCCTCAAGAAAGAGTGTAAGACACAGTAAGACATTTCTGAACAAATAGGCTGTTCCCAGAGTGCTGTATCAAGGCACCTCAGTGGGAAGTCTGGGGGAAGGAAAAAGTGTGGCAGAAAATGCTGCACAACAAGAAGAGGTGGCCGGACCCTGAGGAAGATTGTGGAGAAGGACCGATTCGAGACCTTGGGGGACCTGCGGAGTCTGGAGGAGAAACATCCAGAGCCACCATGTACAGGCGTGTGCAGGAAATGGGCTACAGGTGCCGCATTCCCCATGCAGGTCAAGCCACTTTTGAACCAGAAACAGAGGCAGAAGCGCCTGACCTTGGCTACAGAGAAGCAGCACTGGACTGTTGCTCAGTGGTCCAAAGTACTTATTTCGGATGAAAGCAAATTTTCCATGTCATTCGGAAATCAAGGTGCCAGAGTCTGGAGGAAGACTGGACAGAGGGAAATGCCAAAAAGCCTGAAGTCCAGTGTCAAGTACCCACAGTCCGTGATGGTCTGGGGTGCCATGTCAGCTGCTGGTGTTGGTACACTGTGTTTTATCAAGGGCAGGGTCAATGCAGCTAGCTATCAGGAGATTTTGGAGCACTTCATGCTTCCATCTGCTGAAAAGCTTTATGGAGATGAAGATTTCATTTTTCAGCACGACCTGGCACCTGCTCACAGTGCCAAAACCACTGGTAAATGGTTTACTGACCATGGTATTACTGTGCTCAATTGGCCTGCCAACTCTCCTGACCTGAACCCCATAGACAATCTGTGGGATATTGTGAAGAGAAAGTTGAGAGACGCAAGACCCAACACTCTGGATGAGCTTAAGGCCGCTATCGAAGCATCCTGGGCCTCCATAACACCTCAGCAGTGCCACAGGCTGATTGCCTCCATGCCACACCGCATTGAAACAGTCATTTCTGCAAAGGGATTCCCGACCAAGTATTGAGTGCATAACTGACCATAATTATTTGAAGGTTGACTTTTTTGTATTAAAAACACTTTTCTCTTATTGGTCGGATGAAATATGCTAATTTTTTGAGATAGGAATTTTGGGTTTTCATGAGCTGTATGCCACAATCATCAATATTAGAAACAATAAAAGGCTTGAACTACTTCAGTTGTGTGTAATGAATCTAATATATATGAAAGTCTAATGTTTATCAGTACATTACAGAAAATAATGAACTTTATCGCAATATGCTAAGTTTTTGAAAAGGACCTGTCCTGAGCCAGGATCTTCTGGAGGTTTCTTCCTGTTAAAAGGGAGTTTTCCTCTCTACTGTCACTACATGCTTGCTTTTATGAGGAATGCTGTAAAAACTCTGACACTAGTCAGTGACTTGATGCAATTAGCTGGGTTCCTTATATAAGAAACTTTTTTCTGATTGGCTTAATGAACTGACCTGTATTGGAATGTTTTCTATGTGAAGTACCTTGAGACGACTCTTGTCGCGATTTGGCGCCATATAAATAAACATGAATTGAAATGTGGGGTTTCAGTGTTAGATCACAAGAAATACAGTCTGTAATGAATCTTTAGTTTTCACTTTCTGAATTGAAAACCCATTTCCATAATATTCTATGTTTTAGATGCACCTTTTAATGAAAAAAGGTGAATGAAGGTTCCAGTGCAGAAAAATCACAACATTTTCATTTTTCTCACGTCTGAATCTTTTACACCTGCTTGACAGTCTCTTTCAGGTGTGACTGATTCACCTGTTATGATGACCCGTCCCTGTCTGATCCTGCGACTGTTTGGGGTTTTTCTCTAACTTGTTGTTAGGGAGCAGGTGTTCCTGACGGATCTGAAGAGCCAACCATCCATCAGTGTCACAATGTCGCAGGAATCTAAGCGTCTCCGTTGGTGTGAGGTTTCATTTTGGCGCGTGGAGAGAAGACCCACTCACTCGACCAGTGCTCCTACTCACTCACGGAGCAAATCGAGCACCGAACGCTGTCGCGCGCTCCGTGGAAGAGCCGAGAGCGCTTTGTGTGTTTCATTCATCTCGGTGAAGGCTGCTGCTGCTCACACTTCCTTCTCCTCTTCCTCCCTCCGCTGTTCGCCTGTTGGCTGGAGTTAAGTGGATGGTATCAACAGACCTCCCTTTCTTCTCACCTCCGTGATACCTCGGATCCATCCGGAGAAGTCGTTGGAGGACACGCGCGTCACGACCAGAAAGCCGCGCGAGGGACTTTCTCTCCTTTTATTTCACCTTCTTGTTATTTCGAACAGAGGACGCCGCGCTCATTTTTTTTAAAACGACAAATAAAAGCAGAAATAAGCGATAATCGAGGGAGAGCGGCTGGCTCTCGCTGAGATTTGAGGGATTTTAAAGGAACAGGTGCGTTAGAGGGGTGAAGACGGAGCAGTTGGATGGTTGTCGGTTCCGTGGAGAGGAGAGGAGTCGCTGCCTCTGCGCAAGGTGAGTGATGGACTCAGGAGCCCGCTAATGGAGGACACTGCCCGGAGTCTGTGGGGGGATTGATTGAGCGGTATTGACCTTGATGTTTGACTTCTAGCCCATTTCTCATAAAAATAGTTGCAGAAACTTTTTTAGCTTTGCTGTTCGGATGATGAATGTAGCTGAATTTATAGGAAGTCCTGCAAACTTAGTTTGTTAAATAACTTAAATGTAAATGTCATGGTTTGTGGCAAAATACAAGTCAGAATGGGTCCAACAAAGCATCTCTTTGGTGCATTTCAAGTTTTTGGGTATCAGGAACTTTCATGAGTAAAACCTGCAAAATGTATTCATTTATTCCTTTTTTAGGCTACAAGTGCGAAAGCACTGAGACAGGAAGTCGTCACAAGAAAATTCCCATCAGAGAACGTTTCAGATGAAAAGTGTTTATAATAAATACAATGTTGATTTTACTTATATGAGCTGAATGGAAAGTGGGATGGGACAGCTGTAGCCCAGGAGGTAGAGCGGCTTGTCCAGTAATCGGAAGGTTTCAGGTTCAAACCCGGCTTCGACACAGATGTTGCCTGTGTTCAGCAGGCCCCACCTTTGTCAGTGTGCCCCAGTGCAGCTGTGGTTACATCGTAGCCCATCATCGCCAGCGTGTGAGTGACTGATTGTGTTGTGAAGTGCAATGGAGGGTTGTAGATCCCTAAGAAGGCTTTGTATGAATACAGGCCGTTAAGGTGTAATTTACATAGTAAAAGCAAATGAATATTCCTCATAAGTATGGTGGAACCAGTTGATTTAACTCGATTAAGTAAATTCCACATTTCATTAACTGTCTGAAAATTCATCTTTTAATGGGTTTAGGGAAGGTTTGAGTCCTCTTTATGGGCTTAGCTGTATTATTTCACAGAATTGCAAAGTAGATCTCACTTCTAATAGAGAAAATCTGGTTTAAAAATGATATGGATTTACTCTGACACAGCATCCAGTTCCAACAGTACCTATCAAACCCATCCAGGGCTCCTAAATTGCCCTTTTCTGCCACTTTGGAGTAATGGCCAGTCAGCTAACTGGGCATCTGTGGGAAGATGATACCAGTTTATGAGCTTTTCGAAGCTCTTCCCTGCCTCTCAATGGTACTAATACACACAAGTTCTACGCTACAGGCTTCCCGTGAATATAGCTCATAAACGCATATCAAAATGAAATGATTGTAAACAATTAAATTTATTAGTCTCCTCAGATAAGAACATTTCCCCTCTCCGTTTCTCCCGGTGTGTTTCCACATGTTCCAGCAGGACAGCCTCCATGCTCTGTTTACATTGGAACTACAGTATCGATCCCAACTCAGCACAAGTGATCGTCAGTCCCTTATTGGGATCAATGTTGCCTCTGCTGATTTTTACTGAACTTCAGGTCGCTGCAGCAATCTAGCCAGCAGCTGAAAGGAGAAGGAAACACCCTGTACAGATTATAGTTGCAGTAATGGTTTCATTATGTCATTTATCATGAAACAAGTGACCAATGAACAGAGCGTCTCCAGTGACCCTAAAGAACAATAGCTGAGAATAAATCATGGAGAAAAAACACACATCAGTTAAATAAAGAAGCCACGTTGCAAAATTAGGGAAGTGTTTAAATTCTTGTGCTGTTTTTTTCTCTCCAGTTTATTCAGAAATTGTTGATTTAGTATAATTTTCAAGCCTTTATGTTTTAAGCATGTTCATTATGAGTACCTCAGGAGGTAGAGCAGGTTGTCCAGTAATCGGAAGGTTGTAGGATTGATCTCGGCTCCAGGCAGAGAATTCTGCTGTTGTGTCCTTGGGGAAATCACTTCACCCTCCTTGCCTGTTGGTGATTGGAGGGACCGGTGGCACCTGAGTAAGGCAGCCTTGCCTCTGTCATTGTGCCCCAGGGCAGCGGTGGCTATGTTGTAGCTCATCATCACCAGCGTGCGCACGGGTGAATGACTGGCTAGATGTGAAGCACTATAGGTGGTTGGAAAACCCTAGAAGGCGCTGTATAAATACTAGTGATGCACCGATATGAAAATTTCGGGCCGATACTGATATCCGATAACCAATATTGAGATCACTGTTATGGCCGATAACCGATATTTGCTGATACCGATATACCGACATTAATGCTTCTAAAATCTGCAGATTTTGTATAGAAAGAAAATGAGTAAAGCTGAATTTATGTTATCATGTACACACCACACGCATTTACGGTTCGGAGATGATTTCATTCACTGTTCACATGACTGAACAAATACACACCACTCCCCTCACCCTCTGTAACAGGCAAGCAAATGGATACGAGGTGGAAAAAATATCGGTTGTTAATATCGGCCCAGTTTTATTTATCGAACCGATACCGATATGTAAAAAAATGACTAACATCGGCCGATACCGATATTGATGCCGATATATTGTCCATCCCTAATAAATACAGCCCATTTACCATTCTTGTCCTTTAGCATTCTAGAGTCAACCAGCTGATTCCACACTTTTTCATTTCGTCTCTGGAAGAGGGCTGATTTCTAATTTACCCAGCCCTAAACTTGGTAACAAACTGGTAATGTTGTTCTTGAAAGGTACCAGCATTCCTTCAACACATAAAGTGTGTGTGTGTGTGTGTGTGTGTGTGTGTGTGTGTGTGTGTGTGTGTGTGTGTGTGTGTGCGTGTGTGCGTGCATGTGTTTGTGCACATGTGATTGCTACTTTAAGATTGATGGATGTTTCCTAGTAGGTGTGTTTCTTTGTGTGTCCTCTTTGAGAAGTGCTCCATGGCAACAGGCAGCAAATCGTCTTCACATATCTTTTTTCTCACACACTGTGTGCTATGACCTTTCTGCTGATGGTGTACTGTCTTTGCATGGGTGCATCTGCATCTGTGCCAGCGTGTGACTCGGGATGTGTGTGTGTGTGTGTGTGTGTGTGTGTGTGAGAGAGAGAGAGAGAGAGAGAGAGAGAGAGAGAGAGAGAGAGAGAGAGAGAGAGAGAGAGAGAGAGAGAGAGAGAGAGAGAGAGAGAGAGAGAGAGAGAGAGAGAGAGAGAGAGAGAGAGAGAGAGAGAGAGAGAGAGAGAGAGAGAGAGAGAGAGAGAGAGAGAGAGAGAGAGAGAGAGAGAGAGAGAGAGAGAGAGAGAGAGAGAGAGAGAGAGAGAGAGAGAGAGAGAGAGAGAGAGAGAGAGAGAGAGAGAGAGAGAGAGATTTGACCTTTCATGGTGTACGTTCATTAATAGCTGTATAATATCTAATGTGAAACCAATCACAGTTAACTTCTGCATGAACGAATTGCCGGTGAACTGCCAACTTGCTCTAATAGCGTTTTTATTTTCTCATAGTAGACATCACACTTGTGTAATACTAAAGTACTTTGTTAGCTTTGAGCAGGTGTCAGTTTATCGTTTTTAGACTATTTCAAGTATCTCATTTATTTCATATTAACATGGTTGTCGTGTCTTGTTAATGTCAGAGCTGGACTAATAACCAGCTGTACCTTACATATTCAGGCTCAGCAGACAGAACTCTTTAAAAATCTATTTTCTTTTTTCTCTATCAACATTTTCACAAACTGGCCTGATTCCAGATGGGAGGTAAGACGAGGAGAGCACCATATCCTGGATGTATTATTCAATTACAGAAAAATGCAATGCTTATCAGGTTTAGGTTGCATTATTTTTCTCCTTGGTGGTTCAAGTAAGACCTCTGCTTTGTCAACAGACCCTCAAAATCTCACTGACGTTACATGGAAAAAAAGCAACATGAGGATGTATAGACGGTACAGATTATTTATGTAGGTTACATTATACAAGGTCATGTCCTGTTTAGATCGTGTGTGTGTGTGTGTGTGTGTGTGTGTGTGTGTGTGTCTGTGTGTCTGTGTGTAAAATTATTGCACAGGAAAACAGACGCCAGCTGGTGGGTTCTATTAGGATTGCAAGAGATGTATGATGCTAAAACGTGCTGATTTACTACATTAAACTAACCTAGCATGCCATTCTACATATGCAAATATAAAGGATGGCCATGACCCAAAAATAGATCTCAGTCGTGGAGCAGAATCTATGGTTTTCTTTCAAACTAGCTCTGCACGCAGGTAGACAGGCTAGGACCAATCAGAACAATGAACATGATGTATTCATCTCTACAGATTTCAGTCGATGGGACAGTCCGCTATACAACATCAAAGAAGGAGCAGATACATCCATTTTCTAATAAACAACTTACTTGGCAGTTTTGCTTTCTCGCGATCTTTGATTTTCTAGCTTTTTGTCAACATTAGCAAGTCAGCTAAAGGCTAAAAGGCAATCACAGGTTGTGAAGGGTGAAGCCGGCGTCGTCCATCACTGTCATCATTGGAGAAGCAGAAGGGGGTGTTATGTAATGTTGCCTAAACATTATTTAAATATGCAAAAAATGATTTAGACAAGTTAGTTTTCAAAGATGAGTGGATGCATTTAGGGGCGACTGTGGCTCAGGGGTGAGGAGCTCATCCTGTAACGGGATGTCTGCCGATTTGATCCCAGGCTCTGTCCGTCGTTGCGTCCTTGGGCGAGACACTTCATCCTCCTTGCCTGCTGGGGGTGGTCTGCCTGTATGGGGCAGCCAACTTCTGTCAGTGTGCCCTGGGAAACACACCCTTAACGTGTGACTGGATGAATGATTCACTGTAGTGTAAAATGCTTTGGAGTCCTCTGACTCAGAAAAGTGAAGGTCATTTTTCATTTTCATTTTATTTGGTTCACGGTTCAGCAAGAGGCTCGTGTGTCAACTTTTTTAAGTGACAGAATGGTTTTCACTCTAGATTGGTGTACAGTATATTAACAATCTCAGGGTAGCTCTTTTATCTCAATCATTGGACAATAGTTTCATTTTTCGCTCAATTTTAGTGTATTTATGATGTTTTCCTATGAGAAAATGCACTTTATCACACAGCTTGGCCCAAAAATGAGTCACCACTCAAAAAAATAAGGTCACACACTAGCCTTTAGCATTGATTACGGCAC